ATTTCTAGTGACAGAGATGCTGAATTGCCCTCCATATCCACAGATTGCCACTATAGGGGCAAGCTAAAAAAGTGGGCAAGATGACAGGTGTAATGTTACCAGCAGAAACAACTCAGGTCAGAGAAGGATAAACAAATTGTTTAAATTTCTGCTGTTGTTGGGCATACAAATGAAGCACCAAGCAACTTACAGAAACCTAGAATTTGTGCCCTGAGCACAGCAACATACATAAAATTAACAACGTTACAGCAGGGAATCTACAGTACATCAATGACTGTTCATGACGTGAGACATTTGGTGAAACAGCCGTTTTAGCTTAAAGTTTAATATTTTTTTGTTCTACATCTGTAGTGTTGCTAACATTGTATATAGAGATATGAAGTATGGTTTACGAAGTACGTTTAATCAGAGCCAACATGTACAAAAACCAACAAGAGTCATGCTAGCCAGTAAAACTTTCATTGCTCACATACACTGTAGTTTCAAATAACCCACAACGCATCTCCTACACATACATGTACTACCATGTGCAGAAGAAACAAAAGTCTCTAAGTCTAGCACATCAAAAGGCCAAGCCCAAGCTCCTTGGTCACCACCTTCATCAGCACCTGAAGTAGGAGGACAATAAAGGCAGCTGTCTAATTATGCTTCGCTACTTTTAGCAATACTCAGAAAGCTCAAACCCAAGCTTCGCTTAATTTGGGCAAAACCATTGTCCAGTCACCTGTGATATCAAAGCTGGTGAACAACAACATAATTTATCGCGGCCTCCCAGAATATCTCAAGAAACCCATTCCTTGTATACAAAAGGCAGCCACCAGTTTAGTAGCAGGGTGATAGCAAAGACAGTTGAGCTTACTTCAATTAGCACTCAGAGCTCTTAACAGCCTCTTTTGGCCTGAGTATTTGAACTTAGCTGTACACCAACCAGTGGTATTCAAGTAGAAATCCTGCAAATAACAAATGCTTCCTGAGATCAGGCTATTATAACATTTTAAGTAGGGAAGCAAAGCCCTTTCTACTAAGATTTCGGTATGTTAATTTGCTCAATTTGCAAGTCAGTATTTTCCTCCTCGATTATTTATCTAGGCTAGTATTGAGTATAGTATAGTGTGTAGCATATAGTATATTGCATAGTTTTTGATGCATGGTTTGACTAAATATTGGTAAATGTAGAGCTACACTGTAGAGAAGTTACCACTGAACCATTATTATTACTATTTCTATTATTATTATTAACATTATTATTTTTCCTTGCAAAGCGACAGCTAGCTGTAAAGCCATTGAGTTAGCGAGACTTATTTTCTTGTCGGAATTCACATCATATGTAACTCACATGAGAATCGCTAAGAGAACTGTGACCCTGCTTTGGCCATGAATATCTCTTTTTTTCTATCCCTTGGGCATCTGCAGTTGCCTAACAACAAGCCAGCATGTACACAAAACCGCCATAAACTTGGCCCGGTTGCTTTAGTGGCTATTTCAGAAGTCAAAAATGTTTTGCCGTTAATTTTCACAGAAAGTACAAACATAAAGAACAGGGCAGTTCAGACCAGGCAACTAACAAACAAGCAGAAGCCACAGACCAACCAACAAATTATGTCAAAACTTTTGGAGAGGCATGCCTGTGATTACTTGTAAGATTCTGAGGGACAACGCTTTTATACTTCACGATTTCCAATTTCCAATTTCCAACAGCACTAATACAGCTAATGGATCAGATTCTGTTTGATCTCAACATTGACAAAGTACTGGGCCTGTCTTTGTTGATTACAAAAAGGCATTTGATGTCAGCAACCATAACTTGCTATTCTCAAAGCTTGAGCTGGTAGGCATTAGAAAGGATTTTTTGCCATTATTTACTGATTACACAAGAGGTCGTAATCAATATGTAAACGTTGATGAATCTCATTCCAGTACAAGAGACATAACTGGGTGTACCACAGGGTAGCATCCCGGGCCCGGTACTGTTTCTTGTATTCATAAATGCTGATGATACTACAATTAGCTATCCCACTGATTACTGAGTAGCACCTCAGGCTACCAGTGATGGTCTCCAATCAGATTTGGATAGATCGCAGAAATGGCCAAATAACAACAAAGTGATTCTCAATAAAACAAAGACGAAAGCAATGCTCGCTACCAATAAATGGACTGAGAAAAGAATGAATAGCCAGCAAATGCCACTGAACTTAAACTCTCCTTTGATGACCATATTGACAAACTCTGTAATAAGCTCTGTCAACGAATTCCCATGCTGAGAAGGATATGTGTCTATGGTCCACTTGCTCCACTGGGAATTTGCATATTTTTAATTGTAATTGTTAACTGTTAAATAATGAGGGCCGCAGGTTTGTCAGTTTACTTTTTAACGTTACCCTCTTTAGATAAAGTTGATACATAAATACAACAAGCCGCCAATGGTGCAAAAGACAGCAAGAAAGTCCAAGAAAGGCAAAGCAGTGGTTGGACCTGCTCCCACGGATGCTACTACCCCCAACTTAATAGACAACCAAGTTGATGGCTGGAAGGATATCAGTCACATGCATCCCAAACACAAGTAAAAACTGTGTCTTGCTGTGGACTCTCTTTAATTTTACTAATCATTGTGGGAAAATTATCTTTTTCACTTGGCATTCCCATTTCATTCTGAAGAACATAAATCTATGGTTTAAGTCTTTTCATGGCTGGTGTTTGATAAAAAGGAATACTGCATGTCCTGCAATGGTTGCACAGAACACAAAAAGAAAAAAATGACATGTCACGTGGTAATCCAAACTTCAATAGGGGACTCGTTGATTGGGTTTAGCAATGATTCATGAATGGACTGGTGAGTCACAGAACTCTGAAATAAATTTGTAGACGGATCACTGATCTGATCTGATCTGATCCTTTTCCAAAAGGTACAAACAAAGTAATGAAACAACATTTCTTTTTCCCATGAAAAGCAACAATTTAAGTACAAAATGAAACCCAAAGAGTCTTCAATGAAGCAATAATAGGGCAGGGACACTACACGAAAACATTTGCCAAGCTAGGAGAGAGAAATTTATCTTTCTTTCACAAGTCTTTGTCCACGTTCAGAATTTACATTGACTGGTTGATAAAATGTTTAATTTCTGAGAATTAAAAATAAATAAACAAATTAAAAGTAGGAGCTGAAGCTCGGTAACACAAAGAATTGTCAATACAAGATTACCATTAACCATAATAAAATTATTACCAACCTAAGGCAGTGTTATTACATTATCAAATTGACAAGGAATACCACGACAAAATACTGAGGAAATTTAAATTCATTTACTGCTAAAAGAATACAATTTCGGTTCCACTTGTATTACAGTAACATCTCACGAAAACGCAGAAAATGATTCGGTTATTGCAATTTCATCACTTCATTTAAGCTTATCTTGATAATCAAGATTTAAGTTATTTTAGGGATGGGCACATAAAGCTTGGTCAATTTGAGATATGGTAAACCACAGGGCGCCCACACAATAGGTTTGTGTAGCCGATTGTTATTTTATAGTAAATGTACTGGATTTACCGTTTGCTTCACCTATAGCGATATATCGCTAACTATGTATATAAATCAATGATAAATAAACGTTGAATTACCTTACCTGTGGTGTATAGTCGTCCTTTTGCCTCAAAAGCGGTTTTTTGAGCGATTTTGAATGAATTTGAGTTCGCCGTTGACTGTTCCATATAATAGAAGGACAAGGGAGGAATCCTTGTTTTGAAAGGGTTCCAGCGCCGGAGCGATTTTCACCCCCAAAATCGCATCGCTCCGCTTTCAAACTTCGCAGCATAAAGGTCAAAAGATTCACGATTCTTCTCGTACCTTCCAATCGAAAATCCATCCAAACGGCCCGAGCTAGCCCTCGAAGAAAATCAAAATCCCACAGTATTGACGACTGGAATTCGTAGCAAGATCCATACGTGCCAGCCAGAAATCGTCCGCTGATTGCCTCTTTTTGATTGGATGTCGTTAAACAACAAACGCTTACCAAGTCTTCTTCATCAGTTATTATTTAACCATTTGTTAAACGACATCCAATCAAAAGAGGCAATCAGCGGGACGGTTTCTGGTTGGCACGTATGGATCTTGCTACTAATTCCAGTCGTCAATACTGTGGGATTTTGATTTTCTTCGAGGGCTAGCTCCGGCCGCTTGGATGGATTTTCGATTGAAGGTACGAGAAGAATCGTGAATCTTTTGACCTTTATGCTGCGAAGTTTGAAAGCGAGCGATGCGATTTTGGGGTGAAAAATCGCCCAGCGCTGGAACCCTTTTCAAACAAGGATTCCTCCCTTGTCCTTCTATTATATGGAACAGTCAACGGCGAACTCAAATTCATTCAAAATCGCTCAAAAAACCGCTTTTGAGGCAAAAGGACGACTATACACCACAGGTAAGGTAATTCAACGTTTATTTATCATTGATTTATATACATAGTTAGCGATATATCGCTATAGGTGAAGCAAACGGTAAATCCAGTACATTTACTATAAAATAACAATCGGCTACACAAACCTATTGTGTGGGTTCCCTGTGGGTAAACTCGCGATCGTGTCACTTTTCTATGATATTTCAAAAGCTAAAAATCAGCCTTGTAGGAGAACATATTCGACTTAAACTTAAAATTTAAGGTCGTGTCAAGCTCACCATGCATGCGCAACGACCAACCAGGTCCGCACTTGCCGAATTTCTCCAAGACTTTTTCAATCTCTACACCAAAGGAAAGCCTAGCAACAAACAGAAACTAGGAAGCAACCAAAGCACTAAACCTACCACCGAAAACTTACCATTTTGACAAGCGTCAGGGCGAAAGCCACTCCGTGAATCATAGAGTTGAAGTTGAGAATACTCGCTGCGAAGGTTTGAAATACGCAGCATGCATTTCGCGCGATGGATACACGTGACAAAATCAACCCCCGTCCCAGGATTTTTTCACTATGCAAGCTCACCGCTGACAGCACACTGTCGGCTCGATTGAAGCTCTTATTCAAAGATGGCGGCATCGTCTCCTTCAATACCTCAACTTTTTACTGAACTAGATCGATTTGGAAAGGATGGAAATTTCGAAAAGGCCCAGAAAATTGCTAATAAAAGTAAGGGTAACTTTTCTAGTCCACCATAGATTATTTTCTCATTTTTATTGATCCTATTTCTTTGTTTCATAGTTTTACAAGAAAAACCAGATGATAAGGAAGCATTTCATTGTAAAGTTGTGTCGCTGATTCATCAGTCTTGTTTCCGAGAAGCTGTGGATGTCATCAATTCCGCGCCCAAAAAGGGGTATGTACATGTTTAGCCTTTTTTTCAGTACTTTTTCATAAACAAGACGTAGTTTAATGTACTAACCCTTTTGAAAATAATTTATAAGCTTAGTAATAAACCCAAGCTTATATTTTAAAAGCCAGTGGCTATTTGTACAGGAACCGTGCACCGATTTGTATTTCCTATTCATTCAGGATTAAGTCTCCTCTTGAAATATGTATGAAATTTCTAAGTCTCTTGAACTTTCTGCCCAACAAATGTTCATGAAAGTGTAAGTTTCCTCGATTTTTAAGGAAAAAAATCAGTGGCAATTCTTAAGGAAAAAACTTCAGTGTGGCAAGATTGAGAATCGAACACGGGCCGTAGCATCTGCAGCCGACTACCTAAATCACTATACCACTGAGCATTCGCTACTAAGTAAGTCTTTGATTTCATCATTTACATAGCAACAACCCTAACCCTAGATAGAAGCTAACCATTATGAGTCACTTATTAACCCTAATCAGTATGGTCAGTGCTTTACCCTAATCAGCATAGTCAGAATCCTATATGAGTCACAAATACAAGTTGGTGTACAGGGCCCATACAAATAGCCACTGGGTATTTTAAAAATTAAAAGTATGTAATAGAAATTTGAGAAAACTTAAAACTTTATGCACACAGTCATCTACATGTATCTACGTACAAATCCACCCCTTACTGTGAGCAGGCTTTTAATCAGACATTGAAAACTGGCCGTCCAGGAGGCATGTTTTCCCATAAAATTATAAGAGTTAAGTGGATTTTCCTTGTATTTCTTCCAAAAATGGGTGTCCATAAGAAGGCCTTTACTCCCTTCTGGCTAAAACCTTGACCGCGAGAGACATTTTGCGGGAGAGACATCTACACTTCGACAACAGAAATTCCTTACCAAAAGCCTAAAATCTGTCTGGAATCTGGTCAGCACCTTCGATTGGTTGAGGGAGTAGTTGCAAAGGTTAAATGTAAAGACAATGAATTTATGACAAAAAAGTCAATATTCTTGGAATATATTACACCAATAAACTCAAAGGAAATTTATATTTGGAACCCCATGACTACAAGATCAATTATGCAATCATTGAGTTACTTTATCAGTCTGGTATTTCTGTCATTGACGCGTAGAGATATCTGAGGATTGACGAGAGATGGCTTTATTTGCTGGCTAACAGACACCTGATTTAATTTGACTTCAGGGGTTATTACAAAATTAAATACAAGTATCACTTTCATGTTTAGCCCTGGTCATATAATTTCAAGCAACACAGGTTTCCCTCCTCCTTTGCTTGCGCATACCGATTTTTGTGTTTTCCTTCCACTTGAATGCCTGTGACACAGGCAGAACTTTTGTCTTTCTGGGTAGCAATTGTATGTTTATGTTGCAGTTAATTTTTTATTCCAGGTAATTTTTGTTTTTCCTGTGTTTCAAATCATTAGCATACATCATCATACCCAAAAGCAAAGGAAAAATAAAAATTACCTGAGATAAAAAATTAGCTACAATATATACAACAAGGCTGGTTTCCATGTATGTGTATGACACAGCCCAGACAAAATTAGCCAGTAGCCAGCAATTTTAATTCTAACAATGGATTATTTGTCACCTACTCAACAACGAGATTTAATGATACAACAAACTGAATGCAGTTCAGGGAGATTGCTATCCACCAAGGCTGATAACGGTCGCCAAGAAGTTATTAGGGACCTTAAGATCAGATGACGGCAATGCCAATGAGAATGTCAAAAAAAGACAGTGATAGGTTTAATAAGCAGGCCCCAGTTGCTCAAACGTTGGATAGCGCTATCCACCGGATAAATCACTATCCAGCAGATAGCGTAATTGGTTTCCCTAATACTCATCCGCTGGATAGTGATTTATCTGGTGGATAGCGCTATCCAACGTTTGAACAACTGGGGCCAGAACAACAACTTTGCACGTGCATCATGCTTTTTAGTACATTTCTTTACCATTTTTGCACGACTACAACTTGAGAATACCTAATTTCATGTTTTATAGAGGGCATAAATGAGCAATGCCAAAAATAATTTTCTTTCTCTTTCTTACTTTGGATAAGGCTCTTAGGAATTCAAATCCAGGAGAGTTTTTATACATTCAACAAAGTTTTACCTGCCATCGCCATCATCTAAAGGTCCCTATTATCTAATAGATATTAAGTCTTGAAACGAAACTGGTATTTATATTAAGCATCTTACACAAAGATCGTTATTCATCAACATAGTATAACAAGACACGAAAAACTTCATTCTGGAGATACTTAAAGTCTATTGATCTCTGTAAAATTCAAACCTTTTTTGTTTATCCTTTAACAGGATAAACATTGAACTCCGCTTTGAGAAAGCTTACAGCCTTTATCGCCTTAACAAAACCCAGGAGGCTTTGGATATATTGAATGCTATCGATGAGCCTACACAGCAGGAGAAAGAACTCAAAGCACAAGTGGTATGGATGTTTTAATTTTTTTATAAAAATGGTGATTCCCTGAAAGGACACCTCTTGTAACTCTTACTTGCACAGTCATATAGAGAATTTTTTCATGATGTTAAGCCACATATTGATGTTCAACAAGAATGACGTGCCAGCCATGTTGGTGTTCCGAGCAAGTCTTGTGGTAGTTGAACTTTTTCATATATAAACACTTTCATTTGTTCTGGAATGAATTTGCATTGATGCTGGCCATGTGAGTGATTAAAATAAAATTTAGGTTAATTTGTTTTAGTCTTGCTTGATTCTCAATGTCCTTTATCTCCTGGCTCTAGGTTATGAATACTTAGGGCTAGCAAACAGTCAACCCTAGGTTTTTATCCTGAATTTAATTTTGACCTATAAACAACATCAATATGTACAACATACAACACAAGATAGATTATAATCCAAAGGTCATTGATCAACCTTGTTCCCTGACTCCTCTTCTACTCGTCATCTCTAACTCACTCTGGGGGATGAGTAGGAAAGGAACCTGGGAATGAGATGGGGTCATACCAGTACAATGCATGTGATGCCTGAAAATATCATGTTTCTTTTCTTCCAGATAAAATTTTACATTATTTTACTTGTAACCAATCCACATACTATTAGGATGTTCCTATGGTGTAGCTCAGTCCACAAAATTATAGTTTTATCAAAACCATTTTCTTCTGTCTTCTCACTTTTCTCTTTTTCTTTATCTATTTTTTATAACATTACTTAAAATTTTTTTGATTTGTTTTTGTTATAGCTGCTATCTATTAATTTGAGCAATCTGTGTTATATAACTCATGATAATATTATCTGAGACTTAACCTGATTCCAAATTATCAAATCACTAAGCTTTGAACTGTTGAGGGGCTAAGTTCAATCCACAACGAAATAATAATATCTCCAACAGTCTATCATCTGAATTCTCTAGTTTTCTCATTAATTTATCTCACATGTTCTTTCTTGTTTTTATTTTAGCTATACCGACTTGAAGACTACAGGGCATGTTTAGAATTGTACAAGGACTTGATAAAAAATTCTCAGGTAATTGCTGAAAATTACCTTTTATTTTCCTTTTCAATACTTTGCTTCATTTTATCTTTGTATAGCACTTGTTATTGCATGTTTCCAGCAGGGCTGTCACGAAAATTTCAAGTTGCCAGGCGAGTATATACAATCAGTAGAACGGGAATTGTCCAGCAAGGAAGTTCTTTTGGTTCTATTTTCCATTTTTTTCTTATTAAAGTAGGCAGAGCTCAAGCTCATAGCAGCCAGGGGAAATCCCCTTTCCCCCGGCCCTTAGTGACAGCCTTTTTCCAGTGTGTTTGTCCTGTGTTCCTACATATGTTTAAGATTGAGTTGGTAATTTTTGGTTTGCAGGACGACTATGGCGATGAAAGAGAAACTAACCTAGCTGCTGTTATTTCTGCCGCCGCTCAGTGGGGTGGATTGAAAGTGGTAATAAAAAATGGACATACAAATGCATACCATCGATTACTTTTATTTGTCACTAAGCAACTTCTAGATAGCATTTTGATAAGTCATGTTAAATATTATCTCTTGTAAAATAGTCTGTTCACATAATGAAGTGCTTTATCTGTCTCCTCAAAGTGATTTTTGAGTGGATTTGTTTATTATGCTCAAATTTGATGTCAGAAGCCCTGGTTGTTTAGCCTAATCCACAATCAGTCCAAGTCTAAATACCACTACATCTACAGGGTATACCTTCACACTTCAAGATTTTTTCTTGTTTGCAGTGTGTTAATTGATTGTTTGTGTTTACTAGGATGACCCAGGTTTGCGGGAAGATACATATGAGCTGTGTTACAATTCAGCCTGTCTTTCCTTGGGACAGAATGATGTAGAAGCTGCTCAAGTAAAATTAAAGAAAGCAGAAGGTGTGGAAGACAATTTCTGAAAATTATCTACAGGCCATTTTACTTTATAGCATAGTTTAGAAAATGAGCCTTAATTTAGAAGGGTCAGCTTCCCTGTGTAGTGGGTGTTTGGTTTCATAGACAAAGTAATGGCCACAGACAAATCCCGAATAGGACAGGGATACCCCATAACACTAACCCCAACCTTTTGCCATTTAGTGAGTTACAGGGGCTGATCCGATCCAGTCCATTCCTAGTTTTGTTGACACCTGGCACCAATCACATATCGTAATATTAAAAGGGAATCAGCAGTACACTATGAAATTAACATGCTTGTCAATTTTCAATGAAATTAATCATTCTATCATTGCCCAATTTGGTTATTTGTAGAAATATTTGCCATAAGCCCTTAAACAAAGTTCTGATTGCAAAAAGGGTTTGCTAGGCCCGTAACACTTTTTCCTGGATTGGCTCCGTAATTTTTACCCCCTTGACTGTGTTACTTGATTCTCAAACACAAGAGTCTGATGGATTATCAGTTTCCCAAAAGTGGTCAGCAAGTAGTTAACAAACATCACATTTCATATTTTCTGCTTTCTGGTGATTTCTTTGAAGTAGTGTACAAACATTTGTTTTCCTTTGTTTCAAATCAAGGCAAGGAACATGAGACACAGACACAGACACAGAAATTTTGCATAATTAGATTTGAACCACCACTTAAATGCTAACCTAGGTTAGATATTACAGATCATCCACAGGTCAGCCATTTACAGTGTATGTGACAATGTATGTCACCATATTATCCTTTGAAAATTGCTGAGTCATAATTATTATTAAAACTTTTTTGTATTTTCTAGAGTTGTGTAAGACAAGTCTTCAAGATGACCCTGTAAGTTTTGTAAATACAGTGTACCTGTAATAATACTGTATTCACTGTTTTTAAGTGAATTGTACCTTTGAAAAATGTTGATAAGAAAAAAATAATAATTAAGTCATCCTTTGGCTTAAAGCGATAAAAAAGGGTACAAACTTTTGACAACCTTTCTACAGTCTCCAGGAAGTAAAAAAATGAAAAGGCAACAAAAATTCTAAAATACCCATAATCTGAGTTTTGAAACTATGTATAAGTCAATAAATACCCTGACCACACTGCGTAAAATTATCAATATAGTGTAAATTTTGTTCTATATGTGGATATTTGATAGAATTACAAGCACATTAATGGGATGGTTGTATTTTTAATACGAAATTTGGTAAATTGTTGTGAAAAAATTAATAACTCTCCACATCTGACAGTGTTGGCCAACAACTGAATAACAGTCAATTGAGAGTACATTGCAGGCATTGTTCTTCACAATTTGCCAGAAATTGAGGGCCAGTTATTTAAATGGAGTTTAGCCAGTGTTTAACAAAACCCCATTCTCACTGATTTGTTTGCTGATCGCTTTGCTGTAAGCACCATTTATTGTAAAGAGTTTCATGAAAGCATATATATGGCGTAGACTAGAAAAGGATTTTGTCGTCTTAAAATGACCCACTAAGGAAGAGATCTGAAGGTCCAAAGATTTCCTAAACCGCAGTGTATAAAGGTATACTTTGTTTTAATAACTTCTTCAGGATATAGCAGAAGAAGAGATAGAAGCTGAGATGGGGGTTGTCAGGTGTGTTTTTTGTCTTTTAATTCCAAATCCCTCATGGCTTGAAGTTTTGTTTTAGCCTAAGAATGCAATGTAGTTTTCTTCCAACTATGGTACATGCACATAGTACTACATGTAGATCTAGAGGCAGAACACCAGTATACTGTTCTTACTTTATAAAGTTGCACTTTGTTGGTTGATTATAAGTTTAGTAGCTGCTTATAGTGGATTGTAAGTGTGGTTTAGACACTTGGCCAATGACTGTAGGAAAAATAATGAGCCTAGAAAACAACGAACATTGAAGACCAACTGTCTTCCTTATAAAGCACAGCCCAGTCATCAGAGTTATGTTTCATACCGTTGCACTCTTTTACTTACGATATTGTTTATGTCATGTTATCAGGACACAGCTAGCTTATGCTTACCAAGTACAAGGAAAAAATGATGAAGCTCAGAAGCTCTACAATCAAGTTCTCAAGTCAAAGTATGGACATCATTCATTCTTGAGTATTTTCATACCTATAATTTAAATATTGCAGCCATCCGTAGCACTTCCCAGAACTCTTCTTTGAGTAGCAGTAGCTATTACATTATTTTTTTGTTACTTTTCACTTGTGACAGACCCAATGACCTTGCCTTAGCTGCTGTTGCATCCAACAATATCATCACACTGAACAAGGTTAGCTATGTACACAACATTTTCATAAGAATGTTGTCATCAACTCAGTTTCCAAAACTAATAATACCTCCATGAGAAATGACAAACAAGTGATTTGTTGTTGTTGTTGTTGTTGTTGTTTTTTGCATGGGGGATTGGAAACCCATTTGAAATTCAGTATTAGGGCTAAGAGACAAAGAAAATATTGAGAATCAGCCCGCTTACGTTAAAAAAATTCAACATGAATTTAATTTTGACCTGTAACATATATAGTCAACCCTCTATTAAATATTTCTATTAAACATTTGGAAGTGACCAAAGTCCAAACAAGACAAAAGTTCCAAATTTCATCTTATGGAGAACAGTGAAAGTTTAAGTGGTCACACAATGGGATTTCCTCCACAGACTCAAAATTTAGAACCACCCCTCTACCTCTTAAGATGAACTGCGGCTTTCTAATACAATTGTTATTCTGCAAAAAAAGACTTTGTTTGTGGTTTATTGGTTTTGAGGTAAGACATGAGATGAGGTTGAAGAATTTTGGTTAAACGCCGTAAAAGTGGTAGTTAAAATGGTAGGTCTTTAGTGGTGCACCCCTCCTAAGAAAAATCCTGGATCCGCCCCTGCCACCGTACAAGAATTCATCATTCCCTCTGGGATTGAAAAGGTTAAGCCACAAACTTTGAGAAAGCAACCCAGAGACATGTGGCTGGTTAACGAAGGCTTGAAGTGTAATAGAAGGATAACTGTATTCATCTTTCTCATTTTCATTACTAAGCTTAACATTTACCACCTTTTTTCAATGAAATACGTTTTAGCCAGCAAACACACCATTGTACCAAAAATGGAAAGTTTTTCTTTTTTTGACTATGTTTTAGGACCGTGATGTATTTGACTCAAAGAAGAAAGTCAAGGCAACTTCTGCTGATGGTCTTGAACACAAACTGACAGCAGCTCAACAAAAATCTTTACTGTTTAACCGATGTCTTTTGTCCTTTTACTCGAATCAGGTGAGAAAAAGTCTTCCTCGGTTTAAATTTTGACCTCCCCAGTCCCGATACGCCACCTAAGAACATGTCTTAAAGGCACTCTTCACGGGAGAGCTGTTCGACGTGCAACGCGAGCGCGCGTGAAAATCAACCCACGGTAAAATGGGGGACTACTCGTAGTGTATATTTTAATGGCATTAATAACGAAATGTCCACACAAAAAAACTAGGCATTCAGTGTTGTTTCTTATCTTTGGAATGTCTAGAACATTTTATATTTTAGAAGCAAGGTTTGCATGAAGTACGGAAAAACATACATGTATAGACAGTCATTTCATGAGTTTGCAACTTCTTCATGTGAAAGCCCTGTAGAAAGCGATGCCCAATACCCTCAGTATCCTCGCACTTTTTTAAAACTTATAATTTCTTGGGACCCCTGTATGTCGCATCTCTTTTGTTTAAGGGCTGGGTTTCATTGTTAACAAAATATAACAATCGAAATCACGTTTACTTCTCTTTCTAAACAGCTTGAAGCTTGCCGTAACCTGATATCGACTCTTGAGGCAAATTACGCTGATAGCGACTTTCCTTGCCTTATGAAAGCTTCTCTTCTTCATCGAGAGAAACACTCGGACAAAGCTGTGGAGCTGCTTAAGGTACAATAAACTCTGTACAGGTACTTGTTATCATCAAAGAACCTTTCATGCTTACGTTACCAAACGCTCGACAGCCCTAATCTCTCAACACTTACTTCATTTGGGACAGAAACTCTGACTTCCTTTGAACCTGCACATCAATGTGGCTTTACAAATGCATGCCATTAGAACGATTTATCAGTTATATATACATTCATGAGATTTCCATGAGACGTTTACTCTTACCCTCAAAGCAAATCCATTGGTGTTGCTCTTTTTTATACTCCCATGGCTTTCCAAGGTTAGGGATTCGCGTAATGTATAGTTAGCGGCAAATTTCACGGACTTCCCTTGGAGATCCTTTTATGTTAATAGCCCCATTGATTATACTTCATTTGTCTTAGCTTCCTGCAGATCTGATCGTTTGTTTGTTTGTTTGTTTTTTTGCTTTTTGTTTTTTTTTTTGGCAGAAGTATGCAGCGGATCATGAAGATACTTCAATGAGTGTTAAGCTTACATTGGTGCAGCTTTGTCTAGCACAAGGTTACTGGAGTCCCTTTTTTCCTATTCTTTCTTTCTATTCTTCTTCTTCTTCGGTGTCAGGTCTTTCTGTAACTGTTTTATATAACAGTAGGCCATCTAATATTGTTTCCTACTTCTTTTGAAGTGTTTTTGTTTATAGTTCATGCAAATTTGTGTGTTTTGAGCAGTCACAGAGATATAGAAATTTTCTGAATCGTTGCTTTGTAAGGAATGTCCTAGATATTTTGTTGGTAGTTAATTATTAACTCACTTTAACTCTGAAGATGACTCACTACTGCAAAGCTTAGACAACGAGCAGTCTCTCTTTTTTCTTGGTCCGTCGAGCAAAACGCCCGAGACGCGTAAATGACCACGCGCGTGACTGAAGGCGCGAGACGAGGCGCCCTCCTTTCTCGCGTCTCGCGGCTTCTGCGCTCAACCCTCGCGCGCGCGTGCATTCCCCTTACTAAATCTGAAGAAAAAGAGACACTGCTTCCAGTCTACGCAAAGGTTTGTCGAAACTTCTGTCACTGTGTCAATAACAGTGTTATTCAGAAAAACGATCACCCGGATGATCATGCTCTACCTACTTAGTGATCAGAATATTGCTCAGTCAATCTGCGCAGAATCAGTCTCCATTACTTTTTGATTCATTCTGAAGTTGTGATCTTTTGAACTCTCAGGAAACGTTCAGGATGCCTGTACAACGCTACGTTCAATCAAAGACATTGCTCACAAACCAGGAGTGGTAAGTCATTACACTTTCTTTGCGTCCTCTCAAATACCACAAAATGCCAGCCTTTTGCTTCAAGACAATCACAAATATTTAGATGTTTAAAGAAGGGACGCGTCGGAGACAGTTGCCACCCAAATAAATAATGATAAACAAAAAGCTGGCCCAAAGACCTTTGAACACAATTTTTACTTCATGGTCATTTGCTTTGAAAAACAAACAAGCAAGAGGAGATTATTTAGTAAAGATGGTGAAAAAGACGCAAGGTTTGCGCCCTGTTGATCATCTTGTTCCTTATCGTAATGATTCTTATCTAACAAACCCACACATAGAGTGTGTCAAGTTCAGCTGACTTGTTTTGTTCTTTTATAACAAGGTATCTTCTCTAGTGACAATGTATTCCCATCTTGGCGACGTCAACGCTGCTGTTGCTGTCCTTGACGATGCTGTGGAGTTTGCGCAGAAGAACAAGGTAAGCAAGGAAGAATGTTCCTGAGTAGTCCACCTATCTCTGTCATGGCAACCCTTACGATTTTTTATAAATACTACTGTATGGAGGGAAAAGCTGTCTAAGCGTAGAGTACGGCCCAGGTAGAACACGCGAGATACCCCATTACAATCTCTCGCGGATCGCTCGAGCGTGCCACTCGCGCGTGATTATTCGCGATACCACCAAAGGGGGTCATGGCTTGTGGACTAAAATTCAAGAACGAGCAGCAGACCTTTTCGTACGTACTACATGAAAGTTTTTTATTTTCCAGCACACGATGCGTCAGTCCGAAGTTCTCACACTGATGAGGGAGAATGTAGCGTACAAGTTACATCATGGCAAAGCGAAAGAAGCTGCAGATATGTTAGAGAAGTTACACAAGTAAGAACGACGTAATTCTTTATCAGTTGAGGTGTCACTATTTTGAAACTGCAGCTGGTTAATTGACGGCCATTCCATTTACTATCCAAACCCCACCCAACACCCCAAAGGTGAGACTTTCCGAGGTGGGGGGGGGCTTTCAATTTTTTTTCTGAATGGGTTGCTGCGTCCGCACCGTTGATATTTGGAATATTTCGAAAAGGTCTTTGCTTTATGAAGAGGAATATGAACAAACGGGCTATTTCTCAGGGGGCAGGTGACTGTGATGGTAATACATTTTGGGGGGCGGGGGTAAAAGTTAATTTACCTCTTCTGTAGCAGGTTGGAATATTAAATAGAATGGCTGTGATAACGTTCAATACATACGTTTTAATCTTGAGACCTTATCCTCACCGTTCTTCAGGAAGAAACCTACGTCTTTGACTGGGCGTAACTATTAACTTTTTTTGTAAATCGAGTCTTTCACCGTTTACCTTTATTTTATTTTTTTTTATTTTTATTTTTTTTTTGCTTCATTAAAGGGAAGATCCAAGAGATGTGAAGACATTAGCTCAGCTCATCAAGGCGTATTCCCGAGTGAATCCAAAGAAAGCAGAACAGTATCCTTTTTTTAGGAATATGATGCGTCTGTTAGGAGTCTAACCTGAGAAAACAGCCGACGTTTTTGCGACGCTACGACTGGTTTCTCTGCGTAATGACGTCTGAGAAACAAGCGTAGAAATTCCATACTGATGACGCGTCACTACCAAGATCTGAGTAGTGCTTCTGATTGGTCGTGCCTTGAGGGAAACTTGTTTTCACCAATAAGTGGCACTACCCAAATCTGGGCAAGCCATTGGTATGGAATTGCTGCGCTCGTTCCTCAGACGTCATTTCACGGGGAAACCAGAGATGATGTCGCAAAATGTCGACTGTTTTCTCAGTCTATAAGGGGCCTTTTAGTCTTGGTGTTCCTCTAAACTTTCTATTACTGTGGTTTTTATGTATTCTCAAATGAGAAAATGAAAGAAAGCTAAAGCTCCTTAACCGCTGTTATGAAACAGTTACAGTGAAAAGCTGACACCTCTGGATGCGAGTTCCACTGATGCAGCGCTTGACGTTGATAAGTTAGAGATGTCCCACAATGCCTTTGGGTCTCGGTATGGTCGATCCAGGGTTAAGCAGGAAGGCCGTGATACAGAAATGGAGGAACTAAGGTGGGTTTTGTGAAGACCGCGGACTCAGCTTTTAGACCGGTTGGCTAATCTCCATTATCACAAAAGATTGAGTTTCAACAAAGTAGCAATTGGAAAACACGGATGTCTAGATTTCTAATAAACTGAGGAAATGTAATAATAATAATGGCTTCACCGTGTTGTCATGGATTCTTCGATGTTGAAAAAAACTGGTGCAATCGATTTCCTTGTTTGTTTGAAGCATCTTTTTCGTGTTCGAAGGGAGTAGGTTTCCCAGAAACCTAAATTTTTTTACCCTAAATGATCGATTAAGCGCCGCTACTCGAATAAGTTCCGCGGCGCTAATTTGGGTATTTACAAATTAACGCGCCATCTTTGTTACGGCGCTTGATATACTGAAGAAATAAGACCTCGACCAACTCGTGAGTTCTCAAGTTGGAAACCCTTGAAACGGGATTCATATAACAGTTCGAGGTGTACATATTTTATATTCAATTGTGCATACCTAGTACGCGCCTCACTTAATTCTCTCTATATTCCCCTCAGTGTTTTACTCGTAGTTGAAATAAGCGCCGCTCTCTTATAAGCGCCCGCACCTATAACAGGGAAAATGAAATACGATCATTTACGGTAGTTTCAGTGAGATGTTTACAGTGGTATTGGAATAAAAGTGTAATAAGATATTTGTTTGGTGTAACAGGCACGATATCATCGTGAAAAGAAGAAAAAGAAAGCGAAAGAGAGGTATGTACGCTATATAAAGCCTGTTTCCTTACGATTTGGTAAACAATCGGCGACATGACTTAGTCATGTCTTAGATAAGTCCTTCAGTTAGCGTTGACCTCCAATCCGATATGAGATCGTTGAAGCTTATTGAAGTGGTTTTCTCAAGGAAAAATGAGCAATGCGATGAAGCTTAGCATCACAAAATTAACTACCTCGTCGGTATGGAACAATAGGTTCATGCTTCAGCTGTGCGCTTATCGAGATACGAAACACGCGAAGAGTTGGAAGATTAGAATCTTCGGAGTTTCTAAATAGCGACATTTGACTTTGCTGTCTGGGATCTTTTGAACACGTCCAACTCAAGCAGCTTCCGATCGTATTGCAGGGCGTTACAGGTTACACCATCTATCATTATATGGAAACTAAGCTTAACTATCTTACCCTGTTTATCTTGCTTGTTCACTTTTGAGAGTTTCATGAATCATATTTAAGGAAAAGGTTTGATCCCCATGTCATAGAATAATGATTAAAGAAGTTTAGATTAAAGAAGTGTATTTCAATGGTCACACCATAAGGTTCATTGACCCCGAAGTTATAACTACACTATATGTCAGCGTGCTAGCTCATTACTGATTTGCCCTCGTCCTCGCTATTAAAGCAAGGCCTTATTCATGTGAACATAAGTGAAATTTACGCCAGTGCGGATGAAAAGTTATGGATGAGCACCAGGGACGGGTTGCATCTTGAGTGAAACAAATTCTGCAACCAATTCCTTTTTCCGGGAAAATGTCTTGCATGGTATTGCCGATAATTCGGCGAAGGGTGGACTAACAACGTTAGGATGCGCAAAGACAGCACGAAAACTTTCTTCGGAAAACAGGGAACGGCTAGAGAAAAAGGTTCTAATATAATCGTTATTTGCCTTATATAACCGGGCCCAGAATTCGCTTTGAACTCAGAACGGACCTACTGACTTGGGGAGTAAAGGGGTTCAAATCTATGAAAATGTTCCTATCTTTTCGCAGGAAAGCTACCGAAAAACTACAATTCCGAGGTTGATCCGGACCCCGAGCGATGGATACCTAAAAGAGAAAGAACTTACTACAAGGGAAAAAGACAAAAGAAGGGCGCGTCTGTAGGTAGGTGACAAGTTGAGACTAATAGAGACCTTTAGATTCGAGGACGAGGACGAGGACGACTAGAAAGATGAGATTTATAACATTTGATAACTCTTTATTTATTTATTTGTTTGTTTGTTTGTTTTTTAGCCAGTCACATAACAAAACAAAAAGGTGTTACAAAAGGTGTTGATTAAAATTTAAGTTAATGTGACAAGGAAGCCTAAAGAAGCTGGGAGCTTATATTAAAAGGCTTCCTTAAGCTAGATTGCTAATTACTTACTATCGTGGAGAGCGTACAGAAAACCTAAAACTTAAGCGACAGAACGACTATCAATGAGCTAATTTTTCAGATGTTTTAAAAAAAACAAATATGGAAGAAGAGCTGGTTAGTGAAATTGGCAACGAATTCCTGATTGGTGGTCCTCTATAAAGGATACCAAAGTGCTTAATATTACTTCTACAAAAATGAGGTCTATACATTCTCTCTGCAACTCGTAGTAGAATGATAAAGGCCATCGTGTTTTCGCGCCAAAATGATTCTGATTCACGCGCGCTACTCGGTATTGAGAAAATCTCATACTGAAGACTTCCTCGTCGTAAAATCTAAAGGTCCCTGATATTCAGTAACCTACACCCGTACATCATGGACTCAAGTATACAGTGTATTTATCAGGCTTCCTTGTATTGTGGAGGTGTTGTTTGAACTGTTGTCATGTCAGCGTTCGGTACGTAGTAGTATAGTTGATACCGGTTATGCCCTCTTTCTTTCCTTGTAACTCCTTCTTCAAAAAAAGACCCCATATGTTGGTCGAGTTTGTGGTTGGTTTTCTTTTCTCCGAGCGGTTTTTTTCCAGGAACTCCGGTTTTCGCCTGCCCTTGAAAACCAACATTTCCAGCAAATTCCTACTCGATCAGGAATGGTACTAATGTGGTTAAAGAACCACCAAATGTAGATATGTCACCCTTAAAAGTCTTCATTTGTTTATTTATTTATTTAATATCTAGTTGGCCTTCGCCCTCATATTTATGCAATAATTTACGCACAGCGAAATTCAGTACACCAGAACCGCTAACACCGCAGCATGATTGTTGATGGAACTTAGATTTCTATGGTTACCCCCTACACTAGCTCCGTAAATGCAAACCCCTTAATACGGACAACAAAGAGTCATGTGCCTATGTTTTTTGTGAAGCTGTCCTTTGGAACTGTCCGTCATTGAGAGGTGTCCGTATTATAGAGGTGTCTATAAGGACAGTTCGCCTAACACTCCAATCTTACTTGGTTGTCTCGATACAGTCGTGACTGACGACGCTCTTCAGTAAGGGTGCTAAACCAATGGCTCCCGTCCGCTGTTTAATAGTTGGTCCACCAATTACGATACGCTAACGTGTTTTAAGTTGCCTTATCTTTCTTTTTACAGGTAAAGGAACGCAAGGTGCCGCTGCACCCACAGAATCGTAAGTTCTTTTTTCAAAGCCAAACCTTTTTAGATATATTTTGTGGGGCTAATAACATTTTAATGTATATGACCACTTGCTGTCGAAGTTCAGACAAACGGCATTGGATTCTTTCCTCATCTCTCCCTCAGAGTACTCAGAGGTTGCTTCTTAATGCTAGTATTGGAAATAGTTCTCAATGTTGGCACCGCAGGTAGATAACCAGGTTTTGGTATCATCGCTCCCCCGATATTACAAAATTGTGACCATCTCAAACTGATCAACGAGCTTTAATTTTTGCAATCGTCGGGTGATCTCTAATCACAATCCTTCTTGGCATAAGAGTCATACATCTTTGGCTACAATGTCGTGGTAAGATTTAAAGTATGGTCAATTCTTTCTCACTCAAGAACAACATTATACTGTAACAGGAAAGCCAAAGTCACCTTTTGAAGAATATCTTCCGTAAAAGGTTTAAACCCAGGAGTCATTCAATAAGTGGGTTGAGTTTGATCATACTGGTGAACGTAGTCCTGAATAGGACTGTTGCTGACAGTGACTGACGTTTCGACAACCTATGCAGTAGTCATCTTCAGAGTCAAAGTGAGTTGTATCACGTCAGTCGATGGTATTAAACTCTAGTTATTGATCTGATTGGTCAATTAAGTCGCGAAGTTATTCGTCGTCTGTCAGTTCAGTAAAAAAACATCTTCTATTAACAAATTTGCGGACATCTCATCATTGCTTTTATGTGACTGTCTACGATTCTTATTTTTGTATTCCTTGTAGGTCATCTAGTCCGAAAACACCCGGAAGTCCTAAACCCGCGTCTCCCCCGGGAACGCCATCCGCAGGAGGTGCCGCCGCCAATGTGGTGCCACCCAGACAACAGCAGCCCCAGGCAGCGAAGAAGAAACAGAGACCCAAGAAGAAGAAAGGAGGCTGGTGAAGTCAAATGACTTGGTTAATGTATCAGGAAAATAAAATAGCATTTAATTTCTGGTCCCGTTTACAAGCATGCATTATCTATGTATTTTTCTGAGTAGGGTACTTCTGTGATCTCTACACAAAAGGTGGTTAACTGTCTACTTTGAAAAAAATAAACTATAAACAACATCTTTGTAAAATTCTCTGATTAGCTTAATTCACCATTTTCACATAGACCATGATGTACCTTGTTTACCCCCCAAAAGTTTGCATAACCATTGTCTTCGATATCTCCTGGGACGACTCTATGCAAAATTTTAGGGGGCAAACAAGGTACATTATAATCTATGTGAAAATGGTTATTATAAAAGCCGAAAAAATAAATTAAACACAACGCAATAACGAGTCTCCCTATTTTAAACTTTTTTTTCACCTCGCAGCCAGTAAGGGCATTTTTTCCTACCGCACATAGCGAAGGGCAATAGCCGCTAGCTGTAACGCTAACCCAAACCCTAACCCAGACCCTAATTGATTCCTGTTCAAAATGCCCTCACGTCAAGCACAAAATAACCCCAGTGAGTATAAACTGCCCTTACCCTCAAATTTTCTTCGGGAGGGTCAACTTTGAAAAGCCTTTTCATCGAATTGAATCACTTTTGACAGAGTTAACCACGGTTATTAAGTAAAATGTTGTTTAGAGTTTTAGTGAAATGCCGGAATTGTCTTATCTGCTGCGAAAGCAAACGTATTGGTATCGTTATTGAAATTTGCGCATGTTGTGTTCCTTTCGCTCTTAAAAACTAATGTAACTGCAGCTTACTTTAATCCATTGTGTGCGTTAAGGCAAGGGCCAAACATACATCGACCCAAGGACTATCTGCTACTTCTCGCATGTCGTCCTGAGTTTTTTGTACTAAGGCTGAACCACCATTGACAAGAAAGAACACAAACTTAACACGCTTGCCCTAGGAAGAGTGCACAAGCGTGCCAACTTGGCGCAAGTAACGAAGCCCTCTCCCCCTTACACGAACACATCGTACAACAAACAAAATCAAGGCAAAAAAAGAACAGAGTGACAATTTTGAAACGCGGGCGGCAGTACTAACCATAAGCAATATACAACAGCAAAGCTAAATAACTGGAGCAATAGCAAAAATAACTAAAAAGATAAAGTTAAAGACTTTTGACTCAAAAACAATACACAAGCAAAAACTAAACATCTAAAACATTGAAGCAATGATTATTTGCAATAACTCAAGTCCGGGCGCTCACAGTCTTGGTGCACATAAACAAAAAGATCATGCTCAAAACACAGTTTATCGTGAATAATGTCTGAGGTAAAACTGCCAAAATCAAGGCGGGAAACACCACACTTACTATCAGAATATTTGAAAACCATCGCGCAACGAGTGATAGACTTCCGCTCAAGCACAAGAAAGGCCTCAATAGAAACAGACTCACTAACTGACTTCGTAGAAAACACGGGAGTAGACTTGTTGGAGACTTTAGAAGACACAGCGGGCGTATTAGCAACCGAAGACATAGTAGCAGAAGATCTGACAGCAGGAGGCACAACTTTCGATGACTCTTTAGGAGACACATGAACATCACATGCAGAAGTGGACAAGGGAACAAAACAAAGGGGAGAGAGATCGAGAGTACTCCCTTCAGCCAAAACAGATGAAAAGATACTCTTCACCAGAGACAAGGCCTCTTCACTCACGGAAATTGAAGAACTGTCGTCATCACCATCCTCAACATCAGACGAGTCAACTAGAACAGATATGCACATCAGAAGAACGACGGCGAGGTTCGCGGCAGCCACACGCAAAATGACCCGCCTTGTGACAACGACGACATAAACCATTTAGAGGACACTCTATAACACGATGAAGGCAAGAATGATAGACAGCACAGGCTTGCGGCTGACCACGATACCACACATGACAATCAAATCTACGTAATACGACCAGACAACCGAGTATCCTTTTCCAAAGTAACTTCAACCAGACGCGTGCCGTTCAAGAGACCCGGGAAACCGGAGTACTCCATAGCAGTCACTTCATGCGCGGTTCCAAAAGAAGACAGGACAGTTTTAACAAACGAATCAGGAACTTCAGCAGGCAAGTACAGAACATAAAAGAGCCGAGAACGAGCTGATAAAGGGGAAACTGGCAAACGTTAACCACGGAAATCAACACCGCTAGACATGTCTGCGTTACAACTGACAACGTCGTTATACTTTACACGAACAAGACCATTACAGATTAACTGAACACAACGAACCCTGGAAAGAGGGTCTCAATGGGGTTAACCGATGGGCGTAAAACGGCCAAAAATTTAGTCGATAGCCGTAAAAATTGACGGATTTTAACCGTTAGCCGTAAATAGGATAAAAAAGAGTTAACCGTAAAAGAAATTGTTACCTAGATTTGCTACTTTTAAGGAAGGTGCTAAACTCACTTATGGTCGCGTTTTTTATTTCCCGACTAGTGTGACTCCGTACGCACGTTGGGCGAAGCACCTTTTAGATGTTAACCAAGACTTAGGCTCCTTTTCTGGCGCTCTCTCGGGGAACTAATTTTTCCATAGCGAAAGTGTGCTTCTTGCGGGGGATTAATATTTGCAATTTTCTGGAGGTCGTGCCCTCGAAACACTAGTGAAACAACACGTAGAGATGTCACTGTTTGTAAAACGCGTTGCCGATAAACAACATTTCCTTGTTTTTCTCTGACGCTACGGTAGACATTATGCCTAGTCCCTGTACGGCGTCTTCCCACGCAATCTCGGTCAAGGCATTTCGGTGGAGAACACGCTCGGACCACGTGACCCGAAACGCATTAGCCGCGCGGAATAATGCGGCCTACGGACAAGGCAAGGGCAGACAGTCGTTCCGCACAGTCCTTCGCTATCATTAAAAACACTGGACCGCGACGGGGATTTTGTTATTGGCCGTTTTCACACTAGAACTAGAAATGGATCATCCGTCTGAGACTAGCCTGTGTAAAGTCGCGCCCTCCCCACAGACGCCCCTTCTCCGATTTTTTCTGGGGGGAGGGGGCCGCTGTACACAGGCTATCTGAACGAATAATCCCGTCTTCAAAAGTCAGGCGGATTGTTCATTCAAAATTAAAACTATTCCATTTTCAAATTAAGACGTATTGCCTATCTGACGCGAATCATCAAACGGATAACCCGTCTCACACGAATAATCCTTCTCTAGTGTGAAAACGGCCATTACTGTTATAATAGATGTCGCGCCACAGCCTTGAGTTGGGCGTTTGCGTGTCTGCTTTTGCTTTTTCACAAAGATTATTTTTAAATTGACTATTGACATTTCTATGTGTAAAATAATATTAGAAGTAGAATACTTTATAAAAAGTGTGATCTATCAAATGTTAAAATTTTTGAAAAGAATAGCTTATTTCATCCCGAGATGATCCGAAGACCTTTATTTGGATTTAGATACAAAAAAAGTACGGGTTAATTAATATTTAACTTTTTGAAACAAAAGAAGTTAATTTTTAACTTTCTCGTTAACCGTAACTGAAAAAAATTAACCGATAGCCGTAAAAGAGCCAAAATTTTAGCCGATAACCGTAAAAGCCACCACCCCATTGAGACCCTCTGGAAAGTTCCAAAGACTTGAGGAGCTATGGGAGAACCACGGACTGACCAGTAGAGCGATAAATCTCAGCCGGAGACTGAAGAACCAGGGTACACGGACATTCAGAAACATCAGCCGAAGCGACGGGTAGCCAGATAATGCGTATCAGTAACGTACCGTACCCACCGAGAGAGCAAAACAACACTAAACTTTGCACTGCTCACAAAAAAATAACCTAGCGAACTAAAAAAACCTCACAAAGGACGAGATCCACAATGCACAAGGCAGTGTATCTTACGCTCTCACTTACCGAGGGGACTTTTAAGTCCCCTCAAGCGCCAGCTCCACACAATACACGTCGGAGCTGTTGGTTAAGAATTGTTAGCCACTTTTATACAGCTTGAGCGTGGAAGGCGGATCAGCAGTTTCTGCCGATTTTTTCCCACATGTGTTGCGTCGAGCTGGCCTTAAAGGCAGTGAAGGATCTTTGAAACGAATTATTCCGTTCATAGGTCCAACGCCTTTCCAAAGCTGACGAGGACTAATGAGGACGGAATAAGTTCAATGACTGTTCCTATGCGCAGGGCCTTTGGTTGCTGTATGTTTGCTCCTGGCTTTAGTGGCACACAGATCGGCATAAATGCAAATGCCTTGGGTCCGTCTAAGTTTTGTAATTGGTCGAATTCAAAATGGAAACAATGCCCGATAATGTCGTAGAGTGTCTACTAGTTAATCTGGGAAAAAAATTTAAAAAATTTAAATTTTTTTATGGCACCCTTCTTGGATTTTTTTAAAGGAATTGACCGATGTTTTTAAATATCTTCAAAGTTTCTCAACGGTCAAAACAGGACTGGAAATAATATTTGGTCATGTTCTAAATTGATAGCGAGGTCTTTTGAACTAGAATTAGCATTTTTCAAAAGGGTTAGCCAAAGAATTTAAATGTCTTTCTAGTACTATCATGATCAAATAAAACCTGACAATGTTCAAGGTATTGTACAACGTTTACACCATCATGTAGGCCATAAATTAATATTTCAACATTAAGTGGTGACCTCCTTTTTCAAGAGGCCAGCTGTGATTTGGCACATTTACTTTTTTCACATTTCTAAGCCTAAAAAAACGATTAGCATTCAAAATCTGAAACCAAGTGCAAAAGTTGCGTACCGTCGAAAACTACTAACTAGAATCTTTAAAAAACCCAAACCCGAGCGCTAGGGTTAGGGTTGGGGTAAGCACCTAGAAAAACGAGAATCGTTAGGAATCTGAAACAAGGTGCAAAAAGTGGGTATCCGGAAATACTTTAAGGGCAAAATATTAACAACAGGCTAGGATAAAAATCCCTGAATTTTTAAAGTTACCCCAGGCAGACCCTAAACCTAATCCTAACCCTAGCCCTAGGGGTAGGGTTAGGTTAAGCTCCTTGAAAAACGAGAATCGATAGGAGTCTGAAACAAGGTGCAAAAGGTGGGTATCCGAAAATACTTTAAGGAAAAAAATATTAATAACGGGCTAGGATAAAAATTCTTCGATTTTTGAGGCTACCCCAAGCAGACCCTATAGCTAACCCTAACCGTAGCC